ACTTCTCGTTATCAATGAAGATGCTGTTTAGTTTTCGCTGAAGATCGCATTCCAGGAGCCGTTTGAAACTGAAGAGTGATTGTAGAATCTTCTCACTCTTTCTCAGTGCTGATTGCAAACTGTCCGTGGTTTCACCAATTTCAGGCAGTTCCTCCACCAACCTTAATCAAGTGAACATGAAAGGGTTTTTCACATGCACATATATGTCTGTGTAGGTGTTATTCAAAGATAGAATAGTTTAGCTATGTTAGTTGACATTTTTAAATGATTCCCAACGGCTTTTTGGAAAATCATGACAAGTAAGCAGTGGTCTGTTAGTAGCTTATTTATGTAAAATTTATTTTAACGGATTATTTTGAGGAATCTACTATGTCGAAGTCTACTATGTCGAATCTACTATGTCGAAGCCCTACCGCCTACCGCCTAAAAGGCGGTAGGCAGTAGAGCTATCTTAAAATGCAACCCTCGTAAAAATGACTGAACTCAATTGATATATCAATAAAAAAATACCATAACTTAGGAAACAACAACAAGAGATAATTATAGGGATCTTCCTTATCTATTTTTATGGGACGTCTGTGCTCCATAAACCACCCGAGGTGGTTGAACACACTAATCCGGTCTTTTAGACTTATTGGAATCTGGCATTGAACTATGAAACATAATTTTGATGATTATTCAGGTAGTTTATTGACCTAATGTTTGAGTCGTCCAAATGTATTTCCGTTCCATCTAATTCATCTGACCAAAAGCTGTTCTCTACTAAGTTTTCATGCTATTTGTGACTTCCATTTTCCTAATAATCCCCTGTTTAAGTTTTTCGGCGTACCTCGGAAGTGTCATCTGCGTATTTGCCGAAGTAATTAGATAATTTACTGTAAGGCAAGCTTTGCTTTATATTTAGAGAAGAGATTAGAATGCGAAATCTGTTTATGAATGAGTGTCTCCATACTCTTTATCTGTTTTCTTTTTGGCTTTATTTATTTAGCCTACCTTGTGTAAGCAGAATCCCGACAGTTCTCATAACCTGTACGGTTCAATCGTAGACTCAGTCGGGTCTCTGCAACTCGCCTCGGCGCTTCTTTCTCTGCAATGCACTTCTTTAACATTTCGATGTTGCCCTCCACTTCCGAAATCTCAGTCAAAACCTGTTGGGAAAATGAGGCATCCAATTGACCGCTATGTTAAAGTCTGTATTTTAGATCCGTTCCACAATTTATTTAAGAGCCTCACCTTTTCAAGGCTTTCTACGATCTCGCATCTAGCTGTCGTGACCTCACGGATGCGGGCTGAGAGGGCGGCGCTAGCTTCTGCCCAGCCGCTGGCCAGTGCGTTCACAGCCGTTCTCATGTAACGTGTAGTTTCCTCTCGTAGCTTGGTGCTTACCTGGCGACATTTTTTGGACTCTTCGCAGTTCTTACTTGTGAACTCCTTCCAAGTTAAAGGGACTGTGCAGCTGCGGATGGCAAGATGTGGGAAGTTAACGAACGGAATTTAGGAATCTAAAAATCGAATGCACTCAGACAGGTTAAGTGTGATTTCTCGACCTTAAAGTTCTCACCGCCCGAAGGCTGCTTAAGCTGATCAGTAATCATGCAGAAACAATGATTTACACTTCTTTTAGAGTTGGGTTGGCCTATGTGTGCGATCCGTTTTAAAAGTTAGGCTTACTGAAATCCACAATCTGCAAAAACGGTCCCCAATTATCGATTGCTAGTGGCGACCAACATTTGAAAAACGCTTTCACCTCGTTGTAATAAAAAACGTCATTTAATTAACTCTCCAAAATCGTGATAAGAGAGTACTTTGATCACCATAGTTTCAACCATGCGGACAACCAACAGACATCAAGATAGTTCTCTTCAATCAGACGTACTTCAATCACCTACGGTACGAAGCACTGGATTTTGACATTCACGGTTTGCAGTCAAAAATTCAACTCTAATATCTAACTAACGTTGGCTGTTGTCGGACACACTAGTCCTTTAAAAAGGATGGATGCTTCTGCCTGCAAAGTGATTTCGTGGGGTCCATTCGACGGTTTGGAAAAGCATGCTCCATTGATATTTGCTTTTAAGTGTGTTTTTCCCTTGAGTCTCAAAGTGGTCCTTTTATCTCCCATCAAAACTATGACAAAAGAACTCTGTGCGTACCAGCTTTGCTATAGTAAATACGGTTCCTAACCCTGATCGATGCTCGTGGGGTTCATTCGACGGCTTGCATAAAAGTGGGTTTGTGTCTATATACCCGAATATTTATTTGTTATTAGTTTCTGGATCCAATTTCCTCTACCTAACTTTAGCTACACAGCCCCCTTGATATTTGCTTTCCAGTCTGTTTTTCCTGTGAGTCTCAAAGTAGTCTTCTTATCTCGCATGAAAACGATAACAAAAGATGGTAGGGGGCGCTCACCGATCGTTCTTATGGAACACACTCGTTTCATTGTGCCCAGGGGGTTTCTCTCGAGTCCAGCCAACAGCCGCACAACGGAGCATGAAATAGGCAGTGTGTCATTACCGACAAAGACAAGCGAGACTGGAGTGACCATTTCTGGCTTATTAGCCGTCTTCAGCCAGTCGACGGCTAATAAGCCAGAAATGGCCACTCCAGTCTCCCTTGTCATTGTCGGCAATGACATACTACCGATAACTTTGAGCGTACTGGCTTCGCTATAGTAGCTGGCACCGACGAACAAGCTATAAGATAACCCTACTGTCGGAGCGAATCTAATTTCACAGCACCTGTGCTTGGTTTTCATCACTCTGATGAGAGGTTTTGAAAGGCTCTGTTTTGTCGAAAAATAAATCTCCATCACGGAAACCTCCCGCGGCTGAACATCGGTATTAGTATAAACGTTTTATTTGCTGTCGAATGTTTGGTTTAGTATAAAACGGAGGTGAGTTCGTGTAGTTTCGTTCCAACGTGTCCACTTTTGTGGAAAATTTCTCCGGGTCCCTTCTTCGAAAACTGAATTTATAACTGATACTTATAGAGGCCAATCTCAGGGTCGAAATCTGTTTATTTTGTGTGTTCACAGATCAAACTCAGACAATTAAGGCTTAGATGACTTATTGGACTGGTACTGCTCACTGGCATGCGAATAACGGTATGTCTGAGTAGCCAATAGCGGGTTAAATGTCAGTTTTCGCATTCTCGGATGATTTTGGGCTTAAAAAGCAAGAAGGATGATAACGCTGGAGTTTTCACTACGTCTTCAAGTCTATGGCTCAAAGTAGCACAGAAAAACTTAAAAAGTACGTAGTCCAATGGTATGATCGAAGTATAAAATGCTATAGATCAAACCATGTGTCCACGAGCTCCGTCGCACTGTAGCTGCCAAGCTGTGGGGAGGAATTTTTGAGCTCTGCTGCTCTCACATCGATTTCCTGAGCAGAAAACTTGTCAGCCATATCCTTTTCCAGAACGTGTTTCGCCTCCCGTAATGACCTGAAATTTCACACAGTAATGCCTTTGGTCATGCCCATCATCTGATTGATACATAAAATTCCTTCATCGTAAATTATGGCGTCTATCTCTTCGTTTTATGTTGACTCTGGCTCAGTGTACAAAACCTGCGGGGCAAGTACCACAGGCGTTCTACTAGTAAGCAATCGTTTTATTCACTAGTTTTTTTGACGATACTCGAAACTCTGGGAAAGTTCGCGGTAAAATGACTAGTTCAGTTATTTTCGGAGCATGGTTCAAAACTCCCCGCTAATCGAGGTCGTCTTTTACTAGTGATGATTCCTTTGGTGAAAACAAATATGAATTTTACCTCAAGTCTGTCAGTTCTCAAATGGAATTCCTGAGAGTAACTGCTTTGTAAAAATACAAAAAGAAAGCCCCAGTCATTTATTGCGTATGTTTTGATGGCTCGCTGCTTGGCGACAGCTTCAACCAACTCAACTGTTCATTCGTTACAAGTGACTAGGACTATTAATATCCAGAAAGCGCAGTAAAAATGTACGAATTAGTTGAGGTTCTTGCAATTGACAGTTTTTCCGCATTTACCCCAACTTCGCTTAACGTTCAAACTACCCAAATGACAAGGCAGTGGTAAGAGTTCTGGAAGTAGACCTGATTGCCTGGTCAACGAAGCATAATCACGGCCTATGTGTACCGCACACACGCCGGTCCCCGCACGAACACGAACCATTTTAAAAACAAATTGATCCCGAATTCTTGAATAAAGAGTATTGTTACGAAGGTCAGATTGCATAGAAATAATTGCAAGATGGCTCATAGTTTGAATGAGGCCGGTGTTATCCCATCAGTTCCCAAAGTTCACAGCCCTGTCGCGATCGCTTAAAGCCAATCAGGTTGCTTACAGCGAGGATACAATGGACCATATTGAAGCTAGGTCAGCCTGACAATCCCTTCCCCCTCCAATGTATCAGTGGTACGTCACAAGTAAGGCGAATGCGGAGGAATATTAGTCGCAGTGGCTGGTGTTGTCTAAGAACTTTGCCCGACACAGTTGCCCAGACATTCACACACAACATATTATCCGTTATTATTTGCGTCGATACACCGTATCCCATGATTTTTGTGATTGAAAAATACAAACGGGGACATTTCTCCTGCCGAATGGACAGAATAATAATGGCATCGTCTACCGAATCGGTGCTGCTCCCGGGTTTTTTTTCAGGCCTTGGAATGTGTCTATGGACCCGATGTGACATTTCCGAGACATTTGCGTGTATCGTGCATCCATCCGGCCAGTCCATCCCTGCGGTTGTTAATGCCGGGCTGTGCGGTCGAAAGATGGACGAAAAAATGAGGTATTTGACTACCACTGCTTGAAGACCATTCTTCAAGTGAAGTACACCGACTTCTTCTCAACTGAGACAGACCGCACTCACTGCGACATCGTGGGTATATCCTAGGTCATCCAAAAAGACAACTGAGATGGCTTTGGCACATTTCTCCTCGTCCACCTCACGAGCTCAGTACTGCTGCACTTGAGGTTTCAAGGAGGGGATAAACTCAAGTTCTGTCTCGAAACAGTCCGTCGAGGCATGGACGTGGTTCTTGGGCATTCGGTATTTGTCGCTGGCAAAGAATATTGGTTGAGCTGTCCTAGGCTTCTCCCGCGTGGAGAGGGACAGTCCGTGACATCATCAAGGCCAGCTAGATCAAGCATGGCCACAGCCAATACCAAATACAAGTATACTTCTGTGGATAAGTTCATACCCGTGCATAATCAAATAGGTCCACGCGAAAGTTAAATGTGCAGGTGCAGTACGTGAAGGGAAAACTGACCGGACGAATGTTGGCCAGAAGTCTCCATACCTGTTACAGTGGATTTTAGGTGTCAGGATGAGCTAAGGCATGAAAGGAGCGTAGTCGCAGCAAAAACATATTAGCGTTGTTTCGGTGATGCTAATGATATACTTCATGCTTTGATAACGCTCACGTACGATGGCCCGACCATCAGGAACGATGATGTTCACTGCGTGTCCCAGGAAGTGAACGATGTCAGACAATTACTTGCGCGTGAATTAGCTTATACTGAAGTAGATTAGGGCAGCCTCTCCTTCCTCACCCATCTGGGTCCGGTGGCAGCACAACGCTATAATAACCGGAGGCATGCTCGTGCGCAGTGCCTGGCAGAGGTGAACAACCTGTGCCACCGGCGACCTGGTCACTCGCCAGCTTGCACCAAAGAACATGCTTCTCGCTGACGTGGACGGTGCACGCTCTCTCTGTGCTGTACGTGTTGTGATGTGGGTTCGTTTGCGGTGTGTGCTGGTGGAGCGGCTTGTGGTGGGGTCTGCGATGTTTTGCCGAAGATGTTCATGAAGACACATATGGCTGGATAGGACAATGCTATAGTGAAATGTTCTTGGGCAGAGTGTGCGGGGGAAACAGGTCCAATGGATATGTACTGTCCTTCCCGACATCAGTGCGATGGATCAGCAAGTGCCCAACCAGGCCGATACGTAATACAAATGTGTGGTGGCTAGTGAGCTGGTGGGATGTCGGTGCTACTAGTGATGGCAATCTCTCAGACGACGACTGACTGGGTACGTAGCCTTTGAAGTGTGATGACCCAGGGTAAATGCAGGGCTGCGTGTTACCCTTAAGGATAGTATGCGTCTGCTATGCCATGATCAGCAAACCATGGCCCTCGCAGCCTGGTGTGTTCTGACACCTGGTTTCCTGCCGGTAGATGCGCTTGCGCTCCCGCTGGGGTATACAGGTCGTGAGCATAGCTGTCCAGTCATCCTCATATTTCTGATCCGTTTTGATGCTGTAGTTGGTTGAAATCCTGGTCAACTGTTTGTTGTAGAACAAGGGGTGTGGGGATACATCCAGGTGCGGGTCCGGCTGTGTCAACCACCTGCACCTTTTCTCACCTCCGACCTTCTTGACTATGTCTTGACACCGGGTCCAGGTGGCGAGGAGGGAAGAACGCGGTAGATGTTGCCCATTGCTATAAAGTAATTCGTGCGCAAGTCACCGTGCCTGCTTCACCTGGCTGCGAAGCACACGCTGGGCGTCGCGGGGTACGACGGCTGAACTGTCGGTGGTGGAAACACTGGTAGTCGCGGAGTTGGTAGTCTTAGTGATAGAGGAATTTTTAGCTGTAAGTAGTTTTGTCGTGACAACGTTGTGGAGAATTCCGCTATAACGGACAAGCACATAGCCAAGTAGATCTATGCGATTTATGAACTTCCTGGGGTATTTTATGCAGATGAGACGTGCATGGCGGATGTAGGTCGTGGATAAATGCATGGGTTCTTCGGTTCTATGTGACGGATTTGTAGATGACCGTCCAGGTCTATGCTTGCTGAGACGATGCGATGGCAAAGACGACGGGTTTAACTTTGGTCCTTATTGGTGATGGCAGAGGCAGTGGCGATGATTTGTAGGTCAGAATTTATTGGGGCCAACAAATTTCGTGACGGCCCTTATCAAAGAAGCCTTACTTAATCGTGGTTATCCTGCACGCTTCATTCAGAAGTACAGCAACCATTTACGGCCAAAGTTGACGGAACAGTCCGTTCCGAAGAAGCCCGTTATAATATGTCTACCTTTTAAGGGTGACAACGTCTAAAACACAATCAAGCGACGCTTGCGTTGCACTATAGAAAGAACGTACAACGCAGCAGAGCTTATCTTCATCAGTTCCACAAAAAGCCTTCCAATTAACCGGGCAAAGGATGCCTTGCCAATGCACGCCACCCCCAATTGTGTGTATGAATTCACATGCACTTGCGGATGCAAGTACATTGGGCGAACGCAAAGGCAATTGGCAACCAGGGCCGCTGAGCATTTGCCTAATTGGCTTTTCAAACAGGAAAATAGAACCCCCCGTTCGTCTATACCGAAACACTTGTTAGATAGCGGTCATGTTGTCGACCCTAAAGCATCCTTTCGAGTACTTGTCCGAGCACGTACAACTCGAACCTTGCGTTATTTGGAAGCAGCCTACATACGGAGGGAGAAACCAGACCTGTGCAAGCAGTTAGATCACGTGATCAATCTGCAATTGCCCTGGTAATCTCACGCCTCTATTTTCATCTAACTGTGATTTGTTGTTAACATTTCGTTTTCCTTTTTTCCTTTTTGAATCTTATGTGGACGTCTTAGCTGATTATTGATTATTTTGAACTTTGACCTTGCTCCTATGCACTGCCATTCTGTACAAATTCATACTGCTGTGCGCGTTCATTCGTTACCTATGTTTTGCAGAGACGGGTTGTAGTTGAAAAGCCGTCACGAAATTTGTTGGCCCCAATAAATTCTGCTGTACATGCTTGTTTTCAATTCATACCGGGGAAAAATGCTTCAGATTTGTAGGTCGGTAGGCGTTTCCGTCGTGGTGTTAGTAAGGTTGGTGTATTGCAAGATGAAGGGTGGGTGGGTCATGTTGACAGCGCATTGGGTCCCCCGATGTCCAACAATGCCGATCCCTGCCCAAAATGTCCGTTGATAGTGTGAACACGATGGCAGGGCTTGAGTGCTGGACTCATTAGTCCGCATCGCTCAAGTCTTTCAGACCTCCGTTCTCCCCCTGGCAACGGTTACTCGGTTAGTTTCGAAGGCGGCTACTTCAGTCTTCACGACAGTGCACCATCCCTGTCGATCTTGAACGGGTTCATCCCAGGTCTCCTTGATTTGTAGGTGTCTAGGCGAGATTTCAAGCTGTCCTTGCAGCAATGCTTCTGGCCGCCTTGTCAACACACCTCTATATCCACGCCGCCATAGAATAGCCGCTTGGGTGAACGATCGCAGTTCATCTGCTCTACGTGACTACTCTATCACCGTTGTATCTGGCTTAGAATAGAAAGAATACTGAGGAAACCGATTCTTCCTATGACCTCAGTATCTGGGATCCTTTCCCGACACTTTACCGTAAATATTGTTTGGAGGTAGCTTGGGTGACAATGACTGAGTTGCCTTTCTTCGACTCCATAAACAATCTACATCTCCGTCCCGTGCAAGGACGTTGTCGGCACAGCAGTTCTATATATCCTCAGTTTTGTGTCGACAAAGATGCTGCGACGGTTCCAGATGGGATAATTTCCCCGGCCAAAGGCTTGGCGGAATTTAGAGAGCCGAATTTGATTTCGCTGTCAATCTCCACGTTTCTAGAAATCGTACTACCAATATACGCTAATTCCTCCACCGCTGTGGGATAAGTTTCATCAACGTTTACGCAGGATTCGGTGTGGTTGGCATTTGGCGCTGGCTGGTGCAGGCCCAGTGTCGCCTCCGTACCGATAGTCATGCCGAATTTGGAGCAATCGGAGGCGAATAGGTCTACATTCCGCCTCATGTCCTCTTTCTCGCACATTGTCGAAGGATGGTTGAGGGCGCCCTAGAAGTGCGCGGGTGCGCGACCCAGCGCTTCAGGATCTGTGACTTCTCTGTCAGGAAGGTTGCACCATCCTGGCTCAGCAGTGGCACATTCTCCTTGACATGTGGATCATAGACTGCTTTGATAGCAGCGAAGAAAATTTCACCTCACCACAGCCGGCATATCCCTGGGCCTCCTTAGTCTTAAGAGTCAGCCAGTCGTTCAGGATTTCCCGCAGCCTCTGCTGTGCTGGCCGCCTCCATCGGAATATGCGGATTTACTGACGATTGGGAGAGGATTCTGTTCCGCACATACCTGCAGGAAGAGAAGGCCATTGGTATCGCAACTGCAGATCTAATGGCAACCGAACATTCCCTCCCAGGCAGCGTGATCTGTGCTGACGCGGGCATCGGGGTCACCAAGGACAATCAGTTTGTCCGTCTTTGACATAGCTGCTAGGAGGGCGTGCAGGTCTTCATAGAATTTGTTTTTTACGTCACCGGAGTTGGTCACTGGTGGGGTATAGGAACTGACGATGGTGGCGAATTTGCTCCCGCGGAGTGGCAATCTCATGATTATGAAGCAGCTATTGGCGCCATGCGGCAGGCAGGATAGTCGTCTCACGATGTCGTTACTGATGGCGAAGGCGACTTGGGCATATCATCGCCTTGCCTTTGGATGTGTGCTCCAGAGAACGATGTATCCGACATCCACCTTCTCCAGCTGGGTCTGCTCAGAGGAGTGAATCAACCGAGTGCCGCGATATTCACCTTCTCCTTTTCGAACGGCAGATCATCGGATTTCCTAAAAGTAAGCGAACATTCCGGGTCGCCAGAGTGACGCTGCTCATGCTGACAGCTACGAGGGGTACTAGAAAGGGGACGGCGTTTCTCGTTTTTTATAATTTTTTGATCGCAATTTTTTGCGTCTACAAGCCACACTTAGATTGCCGAAGGCGTGTTTAAGGAGAAATTTAAGAACACCTTTGTTGGCCCCCACCCTGCCAGAAATAAACAGTGCTATCCCTAACCAGGATTACTACGCCATCCCAGGCTGTCGTTGAATGTCAATATGCGTCAAGACTTTAGTGGAAAGACGACCCGAGTTAGCCCGGGCTGCCTAGGAGATGACATGTCGTCCTCTCCGCAGGACATTTCTGTTTCGGGGTTGAGAGGGAATGCTAAAAGCAGTTCAGGGACTACCGACCGTGAAGGCAGGTACACAATGGTCTTTCTCATTTGGGTTGCCTCGCCGGTCAAAGAGGGTTACCAGGTTGTGCCCGCTGTTCTAAGCACGACTTCGTGGGAGTTAGGTGCCGAAACGGGGCGAAGCAAAAGTAGTCCCCAGGACTATTCATTCGGCGGAGACGGTCAGTATACTGCCTATAGGTGTTTCTTAACACAATAATCGTGCCTGCACTACCAGGCCCAGTTGGCGTTGCCTACTCCACACCTTCGTACATGGAAATTGTCGGAAGCGCATGTGCAGCAGGTCATAATAGTCCAAACCCATCGACGAACCTGGTGCGACCGTACAAATACAATGCGGGTCCCCTCTCACAACAGCTCGTACACCACACTCACTTAATACTAGGGTAGCGAATGGAGTGCTCTGGTGGTAGGTGCGATAGGAGATGTCCGATGGATGGAGTGTCACTGCTGACGCTGCCGTTCAACAGGATATGATCATTGAGGGTGGGAAGAGGCTAACTGGATGTTAGGCAAATGGCGAAGATCCAAGAGTAAAGTTGTGGTTGCAAAGAAATTTGTAGTTGGACATAATGTGCGTGGGTCTAGTTGGTGCAGCCACTTTGTGGAGTGTTCCACCTACGTTGGTCAACGTTGGAGACAAGCATCGCAGGATCAGGTTGTCCAAGGACACATAGAAGGAACTTTCCGGATGTTGGGGGGGGGGAGGTTTAAAGCAGTTCTTTAGTCATGATACAGCGAATTTGCGGATGTACAACCAAGTTAATGGGTGGTTGTAGGAGGAACAGGTTGGAACTGTTCCGATATTGCTGTCAGTTGCCCTGATGGCATAAGTAATGTGGTTATTAAGCGGGATCCGTAACCGTAACATATGGAGGCTACGCGATGAAGTGGGAGAAGTTTCTTAAAAAATGACAGCGTTCTATAAAACCGGAATGAGTTAGATGGTTTGAAATTGTTGTGAGTAAGAAGGCATGCAACAAGGTCAAATCAGTGCTTGAGCGGGCGCTCACAGTAGGGCTATTGCCAAAAAGGATTTGAGTCACTATATCCAAATCCTTTTTCCTTGCCCCTTTACCCTAGGCCCTGCATTCGGTCCGTTTAGAAAATGTCGTTGCTGGCTATTCAACAATATTTCCAACTTGCTGGTCATATACAGGCATTTTCCAGAATTTTTGTTAGCTTTGAGACCCCTGGGTGAGGTCTTGTGCGTCGCTTGTTCGCGAGAGACCGTAACGGAGTCCCTGTTAGGTGCTCATCGGCTATCCTCACGATGCTGTCATTCCATTGATTTAGGCTCTGCATAAGTATGAAAAAGCCGATGAGCATGTCAGTCGATTCCATGATCCGGGTTGCCAAGGATCCGTTCTGACCTATGCATGCGCGGTATCCGCCGAAATTAATTGAATTGGAACCGGCTCGGTTCTTCCGCTGGCCTTGAGAAATTGTCTTGGTCTCTACCCCATAAAGGATCCTTCTCAGGATGGCAGTCCTAAACGTCCTCAGCTTCATACTGAGGAGGATGCCGCGAGCATCCGAAACTGTTTTTGTCCTTGTTGGAAATATTTTTCGGGGTCTGAAACTGCACCCTACAGAAGGCATACCTGGCTCTAGAAATCGAAACCACAGTTTACTTGCCGATGTAGATTATCATCGAGATGTTGATTCCCGTCTGGGGACATTTGTCGACGGTAACCGTGCATAAAAGGCAATCCGCAGTTGGCACTGCTTGGTGCACATCATCACCTTTTCCGTGTTGAAAGTCAGCATAAGATTTCCCCATCCGAATGAAAGACACTTTTGTTGTGTTCTATATTTATTCTTTTAATGACCTCAAGTATCCTGTCGTCTTCAGAATAAAGTTCTTCTCTCCTGGCATTCGATATTTTGGTTTATCTCGTTATTTGTCGACTGTCGAGCAACTATCCATTAGTCGGGCAGTTTATGTCAATCCAGTGCTGTTTGTTCCATCATACGTCCATCCGCACTGTGGACTGCCGGTGACTGAATTGCTCATGCCTGCCTTACTCCAATTGTCATATCAATCCTTTTTACGGTTGACGCATCGTCTGTGACCCTTGCAATTATGAAGTCCTAAATTTAAATGAACATCAGTCCGAAAATTTCATAGCATCAAAAAGTCGTAATTATTTGCCAGGTTCGTTTGGCCCACGTCTAGGGACCCTGTGATTGATAAATGCACATCGTCTTGACACTTTTTGGGGATATCACTCTGAGAAGTTGCACGTTGCACTGCGCTTGCGATATCCACATGACCTGTTCCTTGGGTAAATTAGACCATTATGAAGGCAGACAAAGACCATGCCAAAACCGTGGGCAATGTCTCAGGAATCACTGTAGACTAGCTGACTTTCTTCTCTTCATGTTGTTACAAGAAAGCCTCCGCAGAAAACTCCCCTGCCTGCCAGTACAGATGACGAACTTGGTCGGTCTAAACTCCCCCAGTTACCTGCTACAAATTTTCAACAGGGGTTCCTGACGTATTTTTTGTGAATACTAGTACTGACATCAGCTAATTCCGCCCTCTTTGACTGACCGCATATCATCCAACTTCTCATTTTCGTGTCCGTATTTTATTAGAAGCTATGCTCATTTCTAGATTCTGGTTGGTCGAGGATCGCAAATGAGAAGGGGCTAGGCAGATTCGTCACAATCGTGAAATTTGGCTATTTTCTCGCAGAATCGATCTCAGTCAAATTGGTCAACACACCTTCTGAATGCGGTCACCTCGATCTGGTAGTCAAAGGTCATGAAACACGTGTCTTTTGCTAGTTAAGACAAATCAGTCATGCAACTATAAATTAACCCGGACACTGAATAGACAACCGATCCGAAGGACTGTATTCTTGACACTTTTGGCCTGAGACTGTGTAAACTACGGGCTGGGATTTGCGTCTTGAGTCTGAGTTTCTGCATATAAAACGGAAATTAATTTCGTCACAAATAAAAGCTCGGTTTTAAGGTGCATGAAGCCGCCTAGAGGAACTTATCAGCAGGAAGTCGAAAGCGCTATGGAAATAAGATCATAGACGAAGAAAAGTTATATCTCTCAGGTCTCCGCAAGCACATATTCCTAAATTATTTAAGCTATCTAAAATGCAAAACACTGACGTGTCGCTGCGCCTATTTTGTCAATGAAAATTGCCCTATAGCATGACGTCGAATAATGTTTGGCCCAACAAGCCGACCTATTTCGTTTAAATTTTGTTGTGTACGCAATGAAGGACATGTTTTCGTAAATGGTTTAAGAGTCTTTTACCCATGAGACAAGTATATGATTTTACTGAGTTTGTAGAGTCTCTACATCAATTTGAAGCTCGCTGAAGCCATTAAATTTAGTATATGATCGTGAATTTTAAGTACGTTTTAAACCATGGCAGTTTCGTAGCTTACCACAGTTGTATACAACAAGCGTTGAGTCTTTTAATGAACCGTTTTGTAGGCCAACCGATGGCGTAAGTGTAGACAGTTCATCGGGCTCTACTGAAGGGGGTATTACTGAACCAAAATTTGTCGAAATCCCGAGAGCTGTGTTTTTTATCAATTTTATTGGTGACATTTCCTCGTCAATAGACGGAAACATGCAGACTACGTGAAAACATTTAATTGATGCTTTAACAATAGCGTATGGTGGCTTTCTTGTATGTTTTTATGTACAAGGGGAAGTGGGTTTGTCTACATACCTATTTATCAGGAGTCGCCAAGGACAGTATCATCGCCTGCAGAATATTGCCCGCATTCAGGAGAAGAGAAAATTGACGTTCCGCCACTTAACTCCTCCCATATAAGTGCAATCTTCCTAAATTTGTATTGCGGGAACAATTTCCTCAAGGGCATCTTAGTTCATACAGAACTCTTGTCATGCCAGGAAAGTATGAATAACGGGGTTGCCCGTCCCGACGATACAACCAAAATCACCTTCCCATTCAAGCGTAATAACGTCCCAGTATAATCAGATAAAGACTCCGTAGCACGATTAGGCAGACATGCATTACCGCCACCCTCGTCTTCTTAATTTGTAGAAGAACACGTCTGGTCGGGTCTATCAAAGACGTCACCGTTTTTCTGCGAATTTATATGCAGTTGTGGATTCAAATACATTGAATTATGCAAAAACGGTTATCAGTCCGTTAGGACGAACACGTGCTAAAGTGGCTGGTAAGAGCAGAAAACAGGATGCAGATAAGCTCGGTGAGGAAGCACTTTGTGAACACACTAGCTCCACTACCGTTTCGAAGCCGGTGTTTAAAATGCGTTTAGGCGCGGCGACAGCGCATCGTCTAGGTAATTCGGGGGGTCACAGAAAAGCGGAGGGGCCAGTCATTGTTCTGCGAACTGCTTCATCACATTCTTAACTTCGTACTGTCCTGGTGGTCAGAAAGGGGTAAACGTACCCCCTCCCCCTCCATCGCGTTCATCGGCCTCACCCTATGACCCCTTCGTCCAGTGATCCTGTCTCGTTTGAATTCCCTATCCTGCCTTCAAATACCGTGTACAAAATTCTAAACTAGACAAGGGCCGCATACACTAAATTTTTCGTTGCGCAACAGCAAAAAAGATTGGCAAGACACGTGCCCGGACTTTTAGCTTGTACGTACGATCCCAGTTTGGCGCACCCTTCAAATTCTAAAGGCAATTTGGCGAGCATACGTCTGCTTTCGATATATTTTCTTCGGGCCTGTACATTTACATGGATAGTGAAGTAGTGAATTAAAAATACGGGAAGTAGATAATTAGGCCAGATCACGGCTGGTAGCCTGGCCCCGTATTACAGGTGGCTGGGGAGGGGGGGTTGTTTAATTGGACTATTTTGTGGGGTTCCATAATCACATCTGACCCATTTGGCTTCCGTTTTACGTTTTAGGTTAGGATTCGGGTACCGATTAATGGTTTCCGTTTTTCGAGTTAGGGTTATGCCTTTAGGCTTAGGTTTTCGGGGTACGGTTAGGGTTTGAGCGTACGATTAGGTTTCAGTATTACGGTTAGGTTTTCAGTTACGGCTATGCCTAAGGCCTACGATTCCGTTTACGATTTCGGTTAGGGTTAGGGTTAGTGATGCTCTTAAGGTTAACGGTTAAAGTTAAAGGTTGAGGTTGGGATTAGAGTTAAGGTTAGGATTAGAGTTAAGGTCACCGTCCGCTTCCGCATTCCTGGCTACCAACTGCGATCTAGCCGATAATTAAGCTGTAGCTCGAGTATGGGGAAGGGAGGGGAGGGGAAGAGTGGAACCCCAAAATTGTAGTCAACGCCGGGGAGAAGGTGGGTCCCGGGGAAGGTAATTATATGCGGGTGGCTGGCTTGGTGGCTTTGAACCATGGCAACTGTCGGACCTGTGCTCCAGTCAATTGCCGCCATACCAGAAAATGTGTGTTAATAGATCGGGTAGGCCTAGATGACCTTAACCCAGCATTATTATCTTCTTGCCCGTATTTTTTTAATCCATTAGTTTGATAGTCATATAAATGTACAGGCCTGAAGAGAATTTGTCAAAAGCAGACATGTGCTCGCCAAAGTGCCTTTTGAGTTTTCCCATGGGAATTTTCAAAACCCTTCAAATTCTGCCTTGTTTGAAACATTCGCCTTTTTGTAATGTCGTCCGTAGGGAATGCTTTTCAACCGACTTAAAGCATACGTATGTGGCAATGTCCCCAAGCGCCTGCACACGTAATGGATTCAAGTGTTTTATAGTGCAATCAAATGCTTTTTTATAAGTTGATGGACAAAAAAGACTGAGACAGGTCCACAAGATTCACAAAGATACATCTGTTTTTCGTTCAAAAGATCAATGACTTACCAGAGTTCGTTTTCGGCTCTCTTTATTAGTTGGCGCAATCCCTCTTGGCACCATCTTACCGTGTCCAGTTCCTTGAGCAGACAGATGCAAGTGAATTAACGAACCAACAATTGTTCGAAGATTTAGAGTTAATGAGAAATTCATATATTAGATAATTTTAAAAAATGGCCACTACAAGGAATCAGGTAGATCGTAAAAAGCCCCCTGGTTCTATCTTGATTTACATCATCCTTTCGGATTCAAGACGACTGTGCTTTAATATGAAGCCGAACAAATTATTGGTTGGCGAAAGACAATTTTCAGTATTTAATCAGCTGGCTAATGTAGCTATTTAAACAGCCGAAGATGTTTACTACGATATAGTGTTCGTTCTTGAATGACAAAACTGACCGTGACAGGCTGTTCGCATGCATTATACATTGTTGCTTAGCAACTTTTCTGTCCTTCATATGATATGAATTCCTTTTTATTATCGTGTCGGACTGTCCCCATGTAGATCTATGACTCCGCCCGTCATGTTGGAGCAACATCCATTAGTCGGACGTCTGATTTTTCGCAAAACAAGCCAAGAAAACCTGTCGCCGTGTCTTGTACCGCATTACGGAAAAAACGCTTATACTCTGCCCATGGACACCACATTGACAACGGTCATCTGGTACCGGCTGTCAAAAAATCCTGCTAAGCCAACACATCCCGCCGACGATAGAAGCAACGGTAACGCGAATAAATTACACTATCGTCTCTGTCTTCTTCCCTTCTCAAACCCGTCTAAAACTAATCTTCAAATCTGTTAGTTACCCTAATCTTTTTTAGGCCTGTGTGCTTTATTTCCATAACAACCGTCATGGCTTGAATAAGAGGTACCAAAAACGATCATTTCCCGAGCCACCTTCGACGTGATGGATAGATTGTTATTTTTCGTTTTTCACAATTAGTGTTGAAGCAGGATAGTCAGATGTGGGCAGCCGGCTCAATCAAAGAGATAAGTCGGAGTGTACGCTGTCTACTGACGTAAAGTTGTGTGATAAATCGCAGACCCCCTTGGGACTGGCCAGAGCTTGCGAACGACAATTATTTGAGGGGTAAAATGCCGCACTAACGGATAAGAGCTCGTGAAACGGATACAGTATCCTGGGTCTAAACTGCAAGCTCCATATGTAGTTTTGCCATCTAAATAACAGCAGAAACACATCGTGGACATCTTAGAACAGTCAAACGATGAAATTGTCTTACAAATGACCTTAACCATAAAATTCGGCATGAAACTACGCGTCTTGATGTGTAATACTTCAAACCATTTACTTTTGAACCAGAAGCTTACTGGAGAAGCGCAAATGCGCCGGTGAAATAAATAACTCAAAAGTCGCATACAGAGTTAGCATTCAGATGAATAATTCGAATGTTGAGAATTAATCGTTCCTGCAGTCCGACGAGATGCAAAATAAGGCGATTTGCACTAATTAAACACAATCGGCCGCAGCGAAATGTCGCCTTTGTGAAAATTTAAAATTGCATCTATCCTGACAGTTGTTGGTTTTTTTCTGACGACCTGATCTAGCGACTTGATGAGAGGGACCGGGAGGCAGATCAGGTCGTCAGAATAAGATGCAAGATCACCCGAGAAAAGACTAGATATGATTTCCTACAATTGTTGGTTTATCCTGTTTTAGGAATCTGGCAACAACTGGTTTGGTATATTTTTGGAGTAATGAGGTGTTTCAATACGTTGTAAATGGACGTTTCGAATCTGCATTTTAACACTGACGACATTCTTCCGTGATCGGGAAGGAACCTTCATCTACAGGTAGAATGGTGATGTTTTGCCTTTTTAATTGAATTTGGTTATTACCTACAAACCGACAATAACTTTGCGCGTCTGGTTTGTATACTACAAGGACAGGGTTGGTTATTTCTGCAGTAAGGAGGAAGCTTTGAAGTGTGATGCACCAGTTGGGATGCAGTCTATGTCTGCCATACCGGCAAATATGTATGAATAGATCGGGTAGGACTATATTGACTACAGAAAACAATTTAGAAATGGCCAACCCAATATCCCTTCTCCTTGTTCATCTTCCTTCCAGCATATATGCATATATAATCGACGTATGTGCAAATTCATTTCCCCGTATATGTCCTGACAACCATGGGCCACTGAGGAGCTTCCCTTACCGGCTGCCAAAGAGCACTGCCCTGGCAAAACAGTGGGTGAGGCCACTAGGCAGACGCTCCTGGAAGAGCACCAACCTCGACTTCGGAAATGTCCCGAGCCTTTGGGTTATGCAGCTGAAAGGTGATCTGAGCTCATCGGTGAGGATGGAATCACGCTGTCATAACAGGTGGCTACTAGATGGGCCAGAGAACCGAGAGAAAAACTAAATTCTGGGCTCGTAGTTAGCGTAAAAATATATGTCACCAGCCCTAAGAATAAAACAAATTCTGACGCCCAAACTGTCTTCAAAAACTGCGGTTGAAAACGTACGGCGCAGACACCGGTCCGGTCAACTTTGTGGCCAAGGTCGTATCAATCCTCAACCAAATCGAGAAATTTAACAAAATAAAGCGTCTTATTCGGCAGTAAAGTGTCGCCTTATTGGTGGAGCACAAATCATGTACCATGTAATCATGGCGCCGGCGTACAGAGCCCTGGGTAATCACCTCCAGTCTTGCGCCGTCAGTCGATGATTGGACCTACATGCCTTATAAATGCCGCCTGTTCTGTTTCTGCCACTACCTCTGACGATGGACTGCTGTACGAGTCTATAAGCTCAGGACAATAAATAAAGTGTTCTGGTGTTCGAACCTTCTTCACCATCATTGCTATGGCGCAGTATGATGTTATTTAGGAAATGAGAGCTTACACGAGCATTGTGGTACTATTAGCAGGCTAGGAGCGTTCTACAATGGTACCTGGTGAGGCTGACTACGTTCAGGAGACCAAAAGCCTGTTTGAGGGTCGATAGGCATAGAACCGATGCGAAGGCCGATAACTTGGCTTGATAGAACTCACGTCGACCAGCGGACAAGCTAATTAATAAGTAAGCAGGAAGGCTGCATGTCCAGCAGCTGCGACGAGAGCAGCGTCCCACGGGCTACCCAACCTTCACAGAGACAGCATCCTCTTACGGGAACTTGTTTCATTGAGCGCCCACCAAAACTTGACATGCATAAATGGCTGTTGCAAAGTTTAATGTTTCCTACTTCGAACGGAAAGACAATGGCCAGCTCATTTGCTCGGTTCCTGAAACGTCTCGAGGGAATGTAACTCAATGGAGACAAGATCATGGTGTCATTTGATGTCACTCCTCACCATGTCGGCCTGTTGCCGTAGGCACGACCGTGATGATAACAAGCGCCTGTAAGCAATACACTGACGCTCTCCGCAAAACGCATGAATAAACCTGGTGGATACTTCTGTTTCGTCTTTCCACGCCTCCAGCTGTCATCTATGGCTCCACAAGACCTTGATCAGCACAGTGACCGCACTTCAGTAATCGTTTTTGATCGACGGGCTGGATCAGATGAGGATGTCTGGAGCGGACGTCCAGAAACAGAGCCATATGGCACCAAATTCGCCTTTGCCATCAGGAGCGACGTCGTGGGAGAAATACCCTGTTTGCCGCAGAACCCCCGTGTGAACGTCTCACGACTCCGCGCTATCTGCCTCTTAGCGGGAGCAAATTCACTACCGTCGTCAGTGCCTACGCCCTCCACTCAATGACCAACCGTGACATGAAGAACAAGTTCTACGAGGACGGGCGCGCCTTCCTAGTGACTGACATACTGACATTGGTGACTTCAATACCCCCGTCAGCACAGGCCATGCTGTCCGGGAGGGAGTGCTCGGTCATCATGGGATCGGCTGTTGAAACGTAAACGGTTGTTTCTCCTGCAGGCCTGTGCGAAACACAGTCTTTCCACAGTCAACGCCTCCTTCTGTCTTCTGATGCGTGCGAAAGCGACGTGAATGCACACTCACTCGCGTCGCTGGCATCTGCTGGACTGCGTTCACATCCGAGGTGTGACCAACGCGATATGCTAGTGACCAATGTAATGTGTAGTGCACACTGCTTGACGGACCACTGTATCGTCGTTTCCCGAATGAGATAGCAACTGCTACCCCACAGGCATCCGTAAGGTAAGCGCACGCTAGGTAAGCTAAATACTATATTGCTAGATATGGCAGACGGCCAGTTAGATTCTAGCAATCGCCTGACTGTTCGTCTGGATCAAATTCAAGCTCCAGAAGCGAGCACCGTTTTTGGGACGAAATGAAGTCAACTGCCGACTGTCATCCACTTCACTACTCTGGGCGTACTCAGTCGTGCACGCCGTCACCTGAAGGACTGGTTCGATGGCAATGACGAGGAGGTCCGCAATCCGTTCTCCCAGAAGGGTAGGCTACACGCGACTTACGCTACTCATGGACTCGAGGTCGACATGGCGGCTTTCTTTCGATGTCGAAACGCGACGTCGCAACGACTCAGGGGGATGCAAATGGTTTGGATGGCTCTCAAGATTGAGGGAATCCAAAGGTATGCAGACCGCAACAAAATGGCGAACTTTCTCTTATCCGTTAAGGCGGTTTGCGATCACAAATCAGGGCGACTTTGCCACTACCAGTCTCGATGAATAAATTCTCCTAACGGAGGTATTGAAAATTTCGGAGCTCTGGGCTGAGCACTTAGAGACGTCCTCAATTAGCCCTCTACAGTCAGCGGAAAAGCTATCAAAGGACTCTCAGATGGAAATCGGCACAAACGTCGAACGTCCACTCTCGCTATAAATTTGTGGACCAAATGGCCAGTCGAAAAGGTCTGTGCGCTAACTCACCCTCAGTTGTAATCTAGAAGTCACAACTCATGAAAGAACTTGCTTAGCTACTTTAGGAGATGTTGCTACAAGTACATTTCTGAATGCTTTAAGGGTGCCATCATGGTCTTTACGTACAATGGCAAAAGAAGCAGACAACTCTGTGACTATCACAGAGTCATCTATTTCCTCAAAACCAGAAGCGTTGTCTTTGGTCGCGTCTCGTTCAATCGCCCATATCTTCACCGGAGGCAAAAAATCCTCTCTAAAATCCAATATATATATATATATATATATATATATTGCTGATTGAAGCAAAAATGCGCGTTCCCGGATATATATATATATATATCGATATGCGTAAAGATTCGAGGTCCAGACATTGTATCGCGTTCATCATCTCCGCGAGCACGCGGGACCGAGAGTCAACGCTCACGGAAAAGAGCAGAATTGGGGACCAGAGGTCATGTGACCAAAGCCGAACACAGTCTCACCGATGCGCCCGCGAAGCTGAATGCTGCTCACCTGAACAGCAACGACCGATCAGTCCACCGGCTGACGTGGGAGAGGCTAAGCGGCACGTTGATTTGACCACTATTACGCCGACCCCAAAGGTCACGCAGGCCTGTCAGCGGTCAGCCCCTGGGAGGTCTAAGCCAGTCAGCGGCAAACAGGCAGGTCAAAGTTCGTGCGTCCAGCACGGCTATAATACGAGGCAAGCGGCAAGACTGAACAACTCAAGACCGGCAAGTGCAACAATTACTCTACTCTGATGATGGAAACGAGGAAGTTTCCGAAACGTCAGTTCGAATACAATATGGTCCATGAATTCGCCCTCTCTACTTCTTCGTCTTCTTCGGGAGATGATGAACGCGATATATATATATATATATATATATATATATATATTCAAGGGAAGTGCAGAAACATCGACATGGCTTTCGCTGCCAGCCTACCAAAAAAGGAGGACCAACCTCTATACCACTTTCGTAAATTTAACAAAGACGCTCGATGTGGTCGACCGCTATAGACTCCGGAGAACCAAGTCGAAGTTAGGATGTGCGGAACGTTTTATGAAGATAGTGAGCCAATTACACGACGGTATGGCGGCACGCGTCACAGACAGGGGCAGTCTGGGAAGCATTCGCGCTAGCAAATGAAGTGAAGCAGGGTTGTGTGCTTGTTCCCACCCTCTTTACTTTCGCATGCTCCTCAACGCTGAATGAAGTCTATTATGAGGAGCTGCCAGGAACCAACATCGCCTGCCGTACTGACGAACAACTGTCTAATATTTTACGTACACAGGCAAACCGCATGAGTCTCCGTAACCACTATTCATGATCTTCTTGTTCGCAAATGACTGTTCGCTCGACATCGTAGTGGAAGTGGACATGCAAAGGAACATGGACTTCTCAGTCTCTGGCTGCGCAAACTTCGGCCTGATCACAAACACGAAGATGGTAGTCATGCATTAACCACCATCAAATGATGAGCACAACTAGCTCTTAATCAGCATGAACGGAACTTGCCCGGAATTTGTAGATAAATTCGTCCATTTGCGCGGTATGATTTCAAGAAATATCGGGCTCTGTGATGAAAGTGCAAATCGGATCTCGAAAGTTAGCTAAAGCTTTGGCCAGCTAAAAGCACTCCGTCTGAAATCCCAGCGGCATCCTCCTCAATACTAAAGTGACGACGAACGTAGCTGTTGCTCTGGCAACCCTCCGGCTCGGGGGCGGAAATATGGAAGACAAGGAATAACAATCAGCTATTTTACCTCAGCAGCCTCCGGAGAACATTGAATGTGGAGTAGTTAGAAGGGATATCCGGCATTGAGATCCCGGAAAGAACCGACATCTTCCCTGCTCACTCCATGCTGAGACAGATACAACTGCGATGTTATGACCACGATGCTGACAGGCGCCCACACAACGGCTATTAAACGACGTTGCTACAGGTGCTCGTGGACAAAGCGGAAAGTGACACTGTTAAAGGGATATCATCGAGACCTTCCCCGCGCACCTGCAAATGAATTCTTGCGTCTTGGGGTACCTCGACCCGACACAGCAGGTGTGACCCACTGTCGTGAAAACTAAGGCCGCAAACTAAGACACCCATCGCCTGGGAGAGCCAAATCTAAGAGCGAGGCGCGCAAATCTGAAGTACCACGAATCAACGCTGGAAACGGCCAAAACTCCTTGCCTCAATCCTGCGTGCTGCAGAAGGGACACGTGGGGTATTGTTAAGGGTATTCTTTGTCTCGTTACGGAGGTCGGAATCAAAAACACATTTTTTCACAATTAAGCAAGATAAAAGGAATCTCACGTGCTATCCAGAAATACATCAAGGCGTTATTCTTACCGCTAAGAGTGACTTCTCGGCAACATCGTGAACCAAATCAACGTCCTGTCGTTTCTCACGGTAGTAAAGACACTCTTGCGCGATTTGAGCTTGCAAATCGGTTTTTTCCAATAATTTTTCCAGTGATCGTTTTTGTCTGTCCAGTTTCTGCCATTCCTCAACGTTCAGTCTGGATTCCCATTCGAGTTCACCCAGGCCCAAGTGAATGTCGATCACACGGTTTTCTACATAACGAAAAAAATTCGAACAGTTGTCGCCGAGAAACATGCAAGACCTACTTGGCAGGTTTTCTTAAGCCCCTTTACTGATGCCGTAAGGTTATCCTAATGGCTGAGGTCATTTCTTGGCATTTATTTTTATTTGTAAAAGACAACAAGATCATCTACTTCTATACATTATTTATATTCCTGATTTGAGGATCATAAGCGTGAAGTGTAGTGCGATATCCGACGCGATGCCACACATTTGTCGGGTTGTTACTCAATCGAATCCCGCTTACATTTTTGTTTTATTAGGCTTCCTGTCAAAATGAATTTTTCCTAGGTTGTGCAATTTTTGGTGTCTTTAAATTCGTAGAATATTTTTACTAAAACCAAAACAATCCAAAATTGGACAAAGGTTTTTGCGTAGGAAGTCCAACAAGCCCCGCACCCGTAAGTACTTTCTTCTATGAAAAAAGGAAAATTTTACATCATCAAACGTTCTTCCAGACAGGACTAAACCACGAACCTAAAATGCTTTACTTTCTGAGTCGGCGTAGCGATGCCTTTCAGACTCCCCAGAGCTTTGTCCCGCCTTCTGGACGATCTCTTTAGTGTAAAAGCTGGGCAGGGTAGAAATACTAAATTTTTTTGCATACTCTTTGAACTATAATTTAAAGTCTAATGTCAGGTAACAAGAGTAGAAAAACAGGACGGCACGAACGTTTTCACATTGGCCTCCGACAATACAGCGTCCTGATCTTTTGTTCAATCCGTAGCCTAGATATAAAACTCGGGACAGTTTGACGCCCACTTAACGAGTATGGGTTATTTATAGTTGCCAGGAACGATGTACGTGAATGGTGCTATTCAAACCACGGAATACTCGATGACTTACGCAGGGTTTTCAGTTGCTCTCAAAAAACGGCGATAGCCAGTCAATGACCGTACACATCGAATAAAAAGTGAAAGATGTCAAGTGGTCAGAACCATTTCCTCGCAGCCTATGAGCACAATAATAAGGTGCTCTTATGAAGGAGTAAGTGCGTTTTGGGTCTTACTAGATTTTTCCGCCCATGTATGAGTGGAAATGCCTCTGTAAATGTCTATTTTTTGCGCTTCTGAAGGTCAAATTTTGAAGCAAATTTTTACACCATTGCTAATTCATTATCAAACGCACAGGTTGGAACAAGGTACGATTATGTAAATGGCCGCATTTTTCATATTATAGTGAGTGACCGATCTCGTGAAATGTTGGCTGAAATTTTGAAATGCGTTTACGATTAGGAAGGATTACTTGGTCGCGGTTGTAATAATGATTATCTTGCGGCATAGTCTTATAACATTTCGGACTCGGCAGGATGTCGGCTTTTAAATGCACCTCTTTTCAATCTCCCGTAAAAAGCGTACTCTGTAAAAAATGACTACTTACATAGCATGCATTTCCCCATTGGTTTTCGATGGTCTTGCGAATTCAAATATATTTTATAGAAACCATCAACAAAAATATGCTTTCTTTTAGTCGATCAATAGAGAATCACGTCTTCTTTATATTTTATACTTAAGAAAGGAGTATAATTAAGTTTTAGAAAAGTTTATAATTATGAGACTTTTTAAGACCGCGAAATGTCCATTCACATAGTATCGCCCCTGCCGTTTACCACTGCTCCTCATGAAACGTACAACATGGTCCGCATCCATTGCAAAATTTCGTGGACTCTGTGTGATATCTTTTTAATGGCATAGAAAAATATGTGATTTTCTTTACGCAGCTCGCATGCACGTTGTAGACCGAAATCACTAAGCGCTAATGCAACGAATGATCAGGCTCCAAATTATTCGGAATTTAGAAAACTTTTCTAAAATCTAATTATACTCCTTTCTTAAGTATAAAATATAAAGAAGACGTGATTCTCTATTGATCGACTAAAAGAAAGCATATTTTTGTTGATGGTTTCTATAAAATATATTTGAATTCGCAAGACCATCGAAAACCAATGGGAAAATGCATGCTATGTAAGTAGTCCTTTTTTACCAAGCACGCTTTCTACAGGAGATTGAAAAGAGGTGCATTTAAAAGCCGACATCCTGCCGAGTCCGAAATGTTATAAGACTATGCCGCAAGATAATCATTATTACAACCGCGACCAAGTAATCCTTCCTAATCGTAAACGCATTTCAAAATTTCAGCCAACATTTCATGAGATCGGTCACTTACTGTAGATCTGAGCGGATGACAGGAAAGTGTCGTGAAAATGCTCCTTAGCCACAGGCGTTTGTGTACATGGAAGCACTCTCAGAAAAAAATAAAAACCTGTGCTGGGTATGGCTTTCCCTTTTTTCCGTATAAATTAAACCTAAATGACATAATAAAGCAAATCCAATCCTGAGATTTTGCCTTACGATCCATTACTTGGATAACCAGTTTAGAAAGCCAACTGGCTCAGATACGAATTGAAGGGATTGGCACAACAATAAGGGAGTTCATTTCTTCCATTTTTTAGGTGATTACACTTTCGACGACACTGCCCACACTATGTGTAGTATGCTTCTAGATAGGTGGGCGTGCTATGCACTTATCCAAAACTCCGAAAGTTTTATTTTAGTACCAGAAGATGGCGTATACAGTCTTAATTGTTGTTATTTCCACAAGATCACAAAAGATCCATCGCGAGCACAATCAATGGCAACGGAACAATAGACCTGGATTGAGGTCAACATATGTGACGCCATGACCTCAAATTTAAGGGACCCTGGAATCTGTAGCGTGAGGTCAGTGGTCAATGAATGATTTCGCAAGACCTCAAGAAAACAAATGCATCTTGTTGGATTTACTTTATTGCGTGAATTCAGAAAAATTTGTTGCCCATTTGATAGTCGGTATTCCTGGGAGAAGGCCAATAGCAACAAATCAGAAAACTGTTAATCCAAAACTAACATTTTTCACAACAGCACATTGCTACTGAGTTGTTGAAAAACGTAAGGGTTGATGAAAATGCCGAGTCGAACTATTCGTCCCTGTACAGATGCTCTTCTGAAAAATATAAACTGAACATACTTTGAGAATTGTAAAGGGAATATAAAGCAATGATCTACCAAAATCTATCGGTCAACACATCTCACTCAGGCAAATAATTGTCTCTTGTGTGCATTTTATCATTTAATATGTGCAGCAATCGATCTTTCAGTTAGATGACGCAATTACACAGTATGTTCAGTTTCATGTTGATATCTTAAAAGCACACCGTCCTGAGGGGAGCCCATAGGAGTCAAAAAACGTGCTCAGCCTCAGACCAAACACCCTACAATAACAAAATGACGACATTTCCACATAACATCGTGGATTTTATTAAATTAATACTTATACGCGGAATAATATCCCAAATAGTGACAATGTTTCGTGGCTTTAGACGAAAAGTAGAGTTCATCTTGGTCAAAATCTAGTCAGCAACTGGCTACCTTAAAGGACGAGGGCTCGGGAAGTGGCGAAATATGGGAAACAATGATAAACAGTGTAAATATGCGCAACGGTTCGGAATCCTAATGGGGTTAACTAAGTATTAAATATAAGCAATTTAGCTCTCACAGAAGTTGGTAGATAGATCCTTGTGATCTGAAAATGGATACTTAAACTTAGCCGTGAGCATGTGAAGAGGCTGGAGAGTCCAGGCGCAGAACGCGTTTTAGTTTCCCCGAGAACCAAATGCTATAGATCATAGTTGACAAAACTGAACTGGGTGTTTTGTTCAAAAATATCTCAGTTATCGTAAGTTCCAGCGCTATGTTATGAATCAGGCCCATTCATAACGAAAACAAGACTTTTTCTTGACCGATATATAATATTCATCGATTAAACAAACCACATTTTTTCACAACCCGACCGAACGCACCTAGAATCGAAAGACTACCGCATGGGCGCTGATCCAATCTTCGCAAAATGTAAATTAGCGAGCATCATGTTAGAAAATGTGGAAACCCTTATAATCGGATGCAAATACTGCAGTCTTAAAGGAGCTTTTCACGTTTTCATCCGGCATATTCCCTCAAGTGTCACCAACTCAAGAATTCACAAGTGTAACTGCAGGATGTTTTCAATCTCCCACATGTTTATATGGCAATTCGGTTGAGTTTTCTGGACCTTAATAAATAATGGCATCATGCCTTTTACTTCCTCATAACTTCTAATATGATCAACCTGAAGCAACATCATGTAGGTAATTCGCCTTCGAAAATGTTCTTTTTATTTTATCTGCAATGTTAACGTGGCAGGAATTCTAAGCAGTGCATTCCTCTGACTGAGTTTACCAACGGACATACTGAATTAGTCCACTCGACAAAAAGAACACAATTAAATCAAGCCCTTTCTTGGATGGTATGGATAGCACTGCCTAATAGTTTTATAGGCCTCCCCTACCTGGCTTTACGAGCCCCTATTAAGGGGATTTTTCTTTCACTTTTCCATAGTGGTATAATTACGGTTGCGCCCACGGCTCAAAATGCTATTATATTTATGACGCATACAACCAAGTATATCAACCGTTTGAGTCCTAGCAGCCTTCCGCTAAAAACCAGCCACACGAGCCTTACATACACCATGCAGTCAACATCACAAGTCTGCAGTTTGTTACCAAATATGGTTGTAAAATCTGTTGTTCGCATGAGGAAAACTCTGTCTTCTAATAAGCCCAGTAACACGTATGTTTGCTCTTCTCTACTCATCTTTGTGTTTATGTGCAAAATACACAGCATGGAAAAAAAAGGATAATTTGCATTGTCTTTGTTTTCGAAACTTGTAATTTTACTGTCTGTTTAGCCTAAATTTTCTCAGACCATTAAAGGAAGCGTTATTGTTACCGCTAGCAGCCCGGTTTGTGAGTAGAGGTTTGTTTTCACACTCTCTCTCGCTTCCTATACCATTGTCAAAACACGGATAATTAAATGTCCTACGTACGCTCCCAGTTTAATGCCCGTACAAAGCACGCACGTGCACACTCGCATGCACGCATCTGCTTGAACCCATCCGCCTAAATTCCTGCTTCTTAAACAGTCCGCTAGGCTTAGCCAAATGGACGACAAACATTGACTGCATGAGACTGATGTCAAAAGCTACCCCTTCCTGTTCTAGTCCGTAGTGTCGCAGTAGTCTATTGACCAATATTATCACCTTGGTTACACAACATGCATTTGCGGAGGGCTTTACGCAAACTCACATCCAAATAAGCACATCTGTCCATATAGTAAAGGTATTATACCGTACTCCCGACGTAGATACTTGCTAAAAGCCCAGACACGTGTTTCGCCGATATTCTGCCGCTGCGTGACACAGCTGCGAGGGGTTCGGCTCTTCAGTGGGACCCCCAGCGTTCTCTAGCGGTTTCTGGTATATGAACTCCAGAGAATAATCAAGCGAATAATTTCAGAAATTAATCAGTGCAGGACTTGGTGTTAAATCTCTGGGACATGACTTTTTAGGGTCAGAAACGAAATTTCATCTTCGCATTACTTGGTTATTGATATCGTTGACGGTGTATAAATATTATTAACGGATTTCGTAGATCCCATTGCTGCTAAGAAGGATCGCACCGATTGAACACATTGGCGATATCAATTAGTAAGCGCTGGAAGTGTTCCACACTCTTATGCCATTCGATGCTATTCCTTTATCGACTTCCAACGTTAACTGTATCCTCTCATAAATGTCCGGACTCTTGTTGTTGTCTTCTTACCACTCACAATGAACTTCCATATTAGCATCAAAATTCTCGCAAATAAACCGTTTGTTCGATGTTAGAAAAGTCGTCTTCTTTAAAGCAGATTCGCAAGTTCTTTGGTATTCAACTCCGCACTTGAAGTGTCGTAATCTTTTGATGTATCATTTACATAAAACCATATTATATGATCGCACATTACGGACAACAGTTTAATCATTTAAATGACGGGCCTTGACAAATATAGGCGCTACATAGCCAGGATTAAGAAAGACTAACGGACAAGTTCCACATGTGGATCCGGCAAATTATTATTGCTTAAAGTATATCAAATTGTGAACGTATTTCGAACGGCAATACTCGCAAAAGCCAAAACTGTCTTATTGAGCCTAGTATTGGCCTACGCAAACAAATCCGTTGTTCAGGACAGAAAATAAAAAGCAGCATAGTTTATAATGATAGTCAAGACCTTCTTTTGCTTTAGATTGACCTTGACATCTCTTTTTAGCTCAAAATACGGCAACTGTGACCCACGAGGCTTAGTATGCTGGGAGTGTAATTTTGAATTTCGTGAGGTCGTCAGCGAGCCAGATTATGAGAGCAAAAATGGCTGCCAATAGATCCGTTTGCGTAGTAAAAATTAAGTGGTCTGCACTTAGGTATTACATGATCAATGAACAGGACTTTTAAGCGAAAGATTTGCGATTCACATGCAAAACATGTAGCAATGAGGGAGGCGCGGCTTCCTTATCCTATTATGCAGGCGGACAAAATCTCGGAAAAAAGTACTTGGCTTCCTTTGCCCTGATATTATTCAGGACATAGCATTTTTATCAAATTTCGCTTTTGCTGTCAAGCAGCTACTTTTGTTCATTAGGAGGAAGTATCTAAGGGTAGATTACAGAACTATGAATAGGGTCAAAGAACATTCCGTTCATGTTGGTGATTTCTCAAATTCCATAAAATTTGATCATACCACACTTGGACATTGTGATATCTCCCGTAGTTGTGCATGATAAGTATTTGCCCCTCCAAACAGGACGATTTTTCTATCTTTGCAACGTGAAAATTTCCCTAAATATTTCTTTATGTATCATTGCTAATGGTCTGAGTTATTTAAACTGGACATAAATAAATGAAGGGCCATGAATCGTAAGGTAATGACAGGTGTACCAATTTGCATTGCGTAATTGTCCTAATATCCCACGGTTGCGTCAAAATTATGCCTAACATTACGCTAGTTTCAGCCCAATAACAACTGCTATTCAAACAGATTGACAGCCAAATCTAGATTTTCTGACGGAATTCACTCTTTAGAAATGGTCTGCTGACTAAATGAAACATTATGTTACCCATTGCAAACAAAGCTCCAAAATCTAGTACAAAGAGGATAGTTTATATCATTTTTTTCACGCGCCATTAAGAAAATAGGGCCGTTTTCCAAATTAAGTGTTTTTTAATGATTTCTAAGTGTCATCTAACGAATCCAATTGAATTCTAAATAGCTGCAGGCCGTTTAAAAAACCTTTTTTTACGAAACATTCCCGTTAATCTAACGCCTAATAATATCCTTAAAAGTCGGCCAATTTTCCCACAGAAACATCTTTATCCCTAGCTAATGAAACTCAAAATAAAATAGTAAAACCCATTTACCCAAATGACGCTTGCTGTCGGCCTGTGCGATGTCAGTTTGTTCTGCGGTTTCGTTGGCCAGATTTTTAGAAAGGATTCGAAAGCGTTCTGATGCGTTTTGTTCGACCCGCAGATTTTCTAGACAGTTCTTATAAGTGGACAGCCAGAGAGCAGGTGATGATCGCGTGTATAATGCATCTCTGGCAAACGAATGTATTGAAGGCACCCTAAACTTCTTGAATTCCTTAAGAGTGCCCGAGGAAAAGTTTGCATTTCGCTCTGCTTTCGTCGATGGGCATTTAGAGAACGGCTGCCATGAGCTACTGACGGGCTTCTGAAGATATGATCGAGGGCCGGATACGAAATTATGCGATCCCACAAGCATAGGACAAAAATTAATGCGGCAGCTTGATTCCGATTTGAGACGCCTCCCAAAATCCTCCAGTGGTTTCACATTCATCCTTTTCCGTAAGTTGTATTAATATGCAGCTGTAATGATAATGTGTACAATATCAAGCCTGACAAATGTATGCAGCCAATATATAGTGGGATTTAAAATTCGGACTAATCAGTTAAGATGTTATTAAAAATAACATTAATGACACGCGTTTGCGCAATAGACTATCAGCAACAATGAGCGATTCCTCAGCAAATGCTTGGAAATAACAATTCTAAAACTTAAAAATTATTGTTCCAACTTCTAGCACATTTAAGTATAAAGGAATTACAAGTCGACGAATCAAGCAAAGTAGTAAACACATGCGAGGATATAGCTTTCTCAGCATAGAGTACAACGAGAAGAAAAGTTGGTACGATAAGAAAAATAGACACCATGACGGAAGCATAAACTGCTCTTTCTAGTCAGCAGATAATACAAAAAGATACTGGAGATTACTCTTAACAGGATTTTGTTTTGTGTACATCCATGTTAAAATACTTTCCGTCCATTTGTTTCGGTAGTGGAACGTTAAGCATACAAGAAACAAAAGCAGGAAAAATAGTATTAAAAGATGTCATGCTGTTCCGAAAACGGCCGCAATATTGGGCACGTACTCATGTAAGACTACTTATTTATTTGAGCACTGCCAGACGTGACCAAATAAGCCAAGTCGAACAGTATACACTAATCTATAATGCTCCAAATAAGTTTCGTCTAGATCGTGACTGTATTAAGATGTAAGAACTGAAGGCGGTTTAAGAATGCACGACAAAAATATTTTAAGGTAAATCTAATGCGTGATCAAGTACTCGAATACCAACAGGGAAAGCACACTGTGAATGTGACTTTGTATGGATTGATGGTTTCGCTAGATGAGTGATTTGCACAATCCTGCTTAACAAAACGGCCGGGATTCTTGCCTGTTCCATATGACTCCGTCCGAATTAGGACCGAGATGTTTTACGGTTAATTAGGCACAGGCACGTTTCACGTATAGGTCACGCTGTAGAAAGAGTCCAACAAAAGATCGATTCCCGTATTTGTTCCGGACGAAGCTTCCTCCTAGCTACCCTGCCAACACATGGCCTCCGGGACAATTTGGGGCTAGGCCCCCTATAAGGGTCGCCTGTCGAACGTTCAGACGATGTAGCACTATTTTCTCGCCATTATATATGTTATGAAAACTGCAAATTCTCACTACGATACAGTTTTACATACGAAGTAAGGGGTCTAGGATGGCAACCGTGATAACACGTACAGTCTATCTGACTTTTGGTGTCTACGACGCAAGCTTGATTTATAATTTCGAATGGGCGGTGTGACCTTCAAAAGCTTTCGCTAATGGTATTAAAGAAAGAATATGCAATGATCATATTCACTTGCTTCACACATTTTTCGAAATATCCATACACGTCGAAGCTCAGACCAATTTCAGAATGGGTTTTATAGTGAAACAAAAATTAACTGACCGGTGGAAATGAAACTAGACGCGACCAGCTAAAGAAACTGACGTCGCCTACAAATATCCATAAGTTATTTCATGTCTCCTCTGAATTATGATGAGTCCAATAAAGCCGGAGTTGACACTTTTGATCTAAGCCAGGAGTATGCGAGAGGCACCTCTTGATTGTTATAGAAAAATTCTGTTTTATGGGGTTGTCAAAAATATGGTCGGTTTGAAACTCAAACACAAATGGACAAAAAGGATTTGTTGACAGCTTCTAATGTTTCCTAATGTCTTCCTTAGAGATGATTTGTTGCAGACACAAAACAGCCATTTAGAATTATTTATTGTAATTTCCCTTGCGTTTTTTTGGTATTTTTTGGTTTTTTGGTATTTTTGTCGATTTTTCACTATTTTATACTGCTCGCATTTTTTGCAGTATGACTATCCTCACTTATGCAAATGTATGTACTGTTCCATTTTTACTGTAATTTACTCAAAATTTATACCTCTCTGACGTTTTGCTGAATCTTCGGCTTACCCCAGACCATATGAGAGGAAAAGTCACTGGTCATCGGATGCCCTCGCCGATTTTATCAAGGAGTACAGTGATTAGGTCTTGTTTTCAAAGCAGTAAATGCGGTTCACGACACGTCGTTGACGCTAGGCGTTATGACCTACCCGCGTTTTATAATTGCAGTGATTGCCTACCATTGTCTGGGTTTATTCAGTATAGTTCGGTATGCAAGGTGGGCACGAAGAGACTTGGAAAACGATATTTACAGGCGCACAATGAACAGACAACGTGCTTAAGATTATATAGCGATATGGGTGCGTCATGTTTACTCTTGTCAATTAAGCAGTTGGCTATTACCTGACAGCTATCAAGTCTTCTTTAAAATGTGAGAAAAACTACCTCCGAACAAGAGAATAAGAAATTTTAATCCATTATTCAACCACATCCTGGTAAAAAAAAGCTTGCCCGATTTTAAAGTTTGACGGGTAAATGTTACAAACAGTCAATCAAAAAGCTCCTCGTCAAAGTTAAAGTAGGATCTCCTGATCGCTCCTTGGATACCCATAGACTTTTTACTACATTGGCGCAGTGAGACGACGGTTTGAAAGTGAGCGTCGTCCATACACCTGGGTCTCTTAGCTCATTTACTGGCTCGAGTTAGTGACCAACGATGAAATATTTACATTCGAATCTTGCAGCCTTTCTGCGCGTAGACCGTAACTGGTTGACTTGACATTTGTTAATGCTGGGGTTGAGAAGCCATTCATCAAATGACTGTTGCAATCGATCTTATTTGGTTTTCAATTTCAGCGCATCCCCTGGCTTATATATTGAAGTCAATATCATCGAATCATAATCGAACATTGTCATTCTTCAGGTCAGGCAGTACAGGCAATCGTTCACATATATCCAAAACAAAATAGGAACTAAAACACTCCGTTGGGGAACCCACTGTGAATGATTTACCATTCCGATTTGACGTCCCCAATACAAACACGCTGACGTCCGCCTGTGAGAAAGTGAGCAAACCATTTTACTAGGCCGCCAGTCACACAAATTTGACGCGGTTTAGACATCAGCCGTCCGTGCGGAACCCTGTCGAAAGCTTTGCTGAAGTCAATGCAGACTGCATCTACTGACAAACCTATTTCTAATGATTTCATCTAGCCTTCCATGGATGTAAGCAGGCGAGTGATGCAGAGTCGGCCGCTTCTAAATCCATGTTGATGAACATTAAGCAAATTGGTCTATTCAGTGTGCCCCATCAGGTCTGTTTTCATTATTTTCCCCATTAGCTCGCAATAAATGCTCGAGACCCACTGGTCTGAAGCTGTTTGGTGAAGTCTTCTCTCTCCCTTTATATATTGGGCTTTCATTGGCCTGTCGAAGTCGTGTGGTCGACAATATAAAGATTCCCAATCAAAAGTCAGGGAAGACGGTTCGAGTTAGACAACCTTTACTGCCTAAGGAAGTGCGTACACAAGGGCTCTGTAGGCAGTCGACGCGAGCGCGCTCCAAGCAAGCTGTTGTCTGTGTCCGCCTTCGAGGTGTTGTCTTAGCGCGTGTGTGCGCCCTTCGTTGTCTCCACGTCGCCAGCTAACCAGAGTGGGGACAGCGTTGATTGGCTTCGAGCACTCGTGCAGCCCAGCAGCGTATCGACATGGAGTGTGAGGCGGACAGGACGGCAGCATGACAAAGGCGGAGGGTGAGGAGATGCGAACTGCTACAGTACCCCCCGGCTAGACCGAAGGCGGCGCGTAGCGATGCCGAAGGAGCTGTTGATGTCTAAAAAAACATGAGTAACGAAACGGTCAGGAAAGTGAACATGGCGTCCACTACGGGCGATATATACAGGGGGCACAGGAGTAGAGCGAGTATGGCTCGCGGTTACAGTGTTTATGGTTGATGAAGGGGTAGTTGCAGTTGGGGGTTGTGGACATGAGGGCAGAGGAAGTATGCGGGACGGAGAAATAGAGGGTCGGCGAGGCGGAACAGGGGGTAGGGGACCACAGGGCTCATCCGGAGGAGTGTCCGGGACGGCAGCTTTGAGACGGTCCACGCTTACGACCTCCTCGCGAGTGCTGCGTTAAATGCGGAAGTTCTTCGTCCCACGAGAGATAACTCGGAAGGGCCATCGTGGAGTGGTTCCAGGGGCCGGCGGACTCGAGCACATCGAAGGTGGACGTGAGAGCACGTAGCCAAGTCCTTCTCGAGATAAGACGGAGAGGCGGAAGACCTGGGAGGAACCGGGGAGAATGTCCGCATAAACTGCCGGAGGCAATGCAGTAGGTTGGCGGTATCTTTAACCGCACCTTGTGGGGTTGGCGAGATCATCTCACCGGGGAGTCGGACGGTGGCACCGAACACCAGTTCAGTTGCGGAACAGTCAAGTTCCCGCTTGAGAGCGGAGCGGATGCTCAAGAGGACCAGGGAAGGTGGTCTGTCCAGTTCTCCGGATCGGCTGCGGCGCGTAGGGAGGCCTTCAGCTGGCGGTGAAACCGCTTGACCATCCCGTTAGCAGCCGGGTGATAGGCTGTTGTCCGGATGCGGGTACAGCCTAAAAAGGAGAGTAAAGACAGGAAGAGATTAGACTCAAATTGGGCACCACGGTCAGTCGTGATTGTGGAGGGTGCACCAAAGACAGTAACGAAACGACTGAGAACAGCCTTGACCACCGGTGAAGCAGCAATGTCAGGCAGGGGAATCACTTCAGGCCACCGAGTGAACCGATCCACACAGGTGAGGAGATAGGAACAACCATTGGACAGAGGCAGGGGGCCTACAATGTCCAGGTGAACGTGGCTGAACCTTGCACCAGGACCGGGGAAGGTGCCAATGGGGGCCTTGTTGTGCCGCTGGATCTTGCTCCGTTGGTAGGCGATACAAGCCCGTGTCCATGCCTTGAGGTCCTTGTGCATACCAGGCCAGACGAAGCGGTCGGAAACCAGCTTGTCAGTTGCTCGACTCCCAGGGTGAGAGAGATTGTGCAGGAAGGTGAAAACTTTACTGCGGAGGGATGGTGGCACAAATGGACGATGGAAAGGGGTGGATACGTCGCATAAGATGGTGCCGTTACCAGTTGTCAGTGGTAGTTCCTGAAGTTGGAGTCCGGAAACATCCTCATCACAGGGTGGACCGACACGGTGTTGTTCAGCGGCCACCTCAGCGAGGTCTATCCCGGGTGAAAGCTGAAGATGTGCAATGGAGGGCCTGGACAGTGCATCAGCCACCTCATTGCATGACCCGTCAATGTGGCATATATCTGAGGTAAACTGGGAGATGTAGTCCAGTTGGCGGATTTCCCGGGGGTTACGTTTGTCAGTGTGGGAAAGAAGTGCAAAAGTCAACGGTTTGTGGTCAGTGAAAACGGTGAAGTCACGACCTTCAATGGAATGCCGGAAATGCTTCACAGCCAGGTAAATGGCAAGTTGTTCACGGCCAAAGTTACTGTAGCGTGTCTCAGCTGGTAAGAGCTTTTTGGAGAAAAGGCAAGTGGTTGAGTCTAACCAGCAAAGTGTTTTTGAAGGACTGCACCTACGGCTACGGTCGAAGCATCTACCATCAGAGACAGCTGAGCTTCGGGAGCGGGATGTGCGAGTAAGGTGGCATCAGCAAGGGAATTCTTGATTCTCTCAAAAGCAGTCAGTGCTTCACCAGTCAGCTCGAGGGGACCTTTGGGACCAGAAAGCATGTTGTTAAGCGGCAACATGAGATCAGCACAGTTCGGTAGAAACCGGCGATAAAAGTTCACCACACCAAGAAACCGTTGCAACTGACGCTTCGAGATAGGGGGTGGGAAGTCCCGAATGGCGGCAGCCTTTGAGGGAAGAGGCTGAATGCCCTGGGAGTCAACCAGATGGCCGAGAACTTCTAGGGAGGGCACACCGAAGACGCACTTGGACGGGTTGAGAACAACGCCAAATTGTTGAAGGCGGTCAAACACCGTTGTAAGGTGTTCTATGTGTTCTTCGGTGGTGGAGCTGGCTAACAGAAGGTCGTCGATATAGGCATAGACAAATGGTAGGCCGCAAAGCACTCTGTCTACAAACCTTTGGAAGGTCTGGGAGGCGTTCCGAAGTCCAAATGGCATGCGCAAGAACTCAAAGGGGCCAAAGGGGGTGGTAACGGCCGTCTTCGAAACGTCGTCTGGGGCTATGGGAATTTGGTGGAAAGCACGGACCAGATCGATCTTCGAGAATACAGACTTGCCGAATAGGGCACCGGCAAAATCTTGAAGATATGGGACAGGATAGCGGTCCGGGACGGTAAAGTTGTTCAGGGCCCTGTAATCACCGCAGGGGCGCCAGTCACCAGTGGCGGCCTTTGGAACCATGTGGAGGGGTGAGGCCCATGGGCTTTCAGATTGACGGATGATGCCCATTTGAAGCATGTGCTCGAATTCGGCCTTGGCGGCAGCAAAACGTGTCGGCGCGAGACGGCGGGGGCGAGAAAACACGGGAGGGCCGGTGGTCCGAATGTGGTGAACAACATCATGTGGTGGAGTAGAAACGCTAAAGTTGGGACGAGTGAGGCCGGGGTATTTGGCGAGGTGTTGTCGAAATGGATTCTCGGGTTCAGGGTCCAAGACGGCAAGATGGCGGGAGGCGTCGGAGGAAGAGATACCCCGGACAGTGTTGTTGGTGGTTTTGTCGTGTAGACGTGACTGACGGCAGTCGACCATAAGATCGAAAGCGGAGAGGAAATCTGCACCGAGAATCGCACAGGGGATGTCAGCAACGACGAAGACCCAAGGGAAGGGCGCCGGAGACCGATGTCCAGAGAGAGGGAGCAGGTGCCAAATGTGGTAATCGGCGATGTGTTGACGGCCTGTAGGAAAAGACCGGATTGGGGCACCGACGATCAGCTGGTGTGGGTGGAATGACACTTAGCTGGGCACCAGTGTCAACCAAGAAACGTCTTCCACTCCTGGTATCGCGGACGTAAAATGTGTGACCAGGGTTAGAGCCGTCGGGAAGATTGGCTGCACAGACCTTCCGACTGACCAGTTTTCCCGTTCGCTTTGCTTTGAAGTGAAGGAGCAGGGAGAGGGGCAGCGACGGGCTTTAGAACCGAAGGTAGTGTGGTACAAGCAGGTGGCAGCTGCTTTTGGACGGGCTGGATGTGAAGACTGAAGATGCGGGGTTGACGGCTTCGGTTGGCTCCGAGATGAGGGAGAAACTGCCTGCTTCTGGAGTGAAGCTATATCATTGGCCAGCTTGCTGAGCTCGATCTCTAACTGCGAAACAGGAGACGCAGGAGGAGTTGAGGGAGTTGAGAGTGCTGAAATAGACGACTTGGAAAAACCGTGCATCTCCATAAGCCGATCAGCCATCTGATTAAGCTGCGTGGCCGAAAGTATGCCGAAGGCGGGTGCCAAAATATGCTGCACTTCCGGTGGAAAGTTGTCCATGATCAGCGCCTGACTTTATCGTAGATTAGGCAGAAGGAAGATTACTGTTTGCAATGACTCACCAATTGTCGAGAGTCGGTGTGTCGACAATATACAGATTCCCAATCAAAAGTCAGGGAAGACGGTTCGAGTTAGACAACCTTTACTGCCTAAGGAAGTGCGTACACAAGGGCTCTGTAGGCAGTCGACGCGAGCGCGCTCCAAGCAAGCTGTTGTCTGTGTCCGCCTTCGAGGTGTTGTCTTAGCGCGTGTGTGCGCCCTTCGTTGTCTCCACGTCGCCAGCTAATCAGAGTGGGGACAGCGTTGATTGGCTTCGAGCACTCGTGCAGCCCAGCAGCGTATCGACATGGAGTGTGAGGCGGACAGGACGGCAGCATGACAAAGGCGGAGGGTGAGGAGATCCGAACTGCTACAGGCCGGCTTCCAGTCAATAAGTAAAGCCTACGACTCCATGGACCTTTTGAAGATCTTAGAGGGCGTGTACACCATTTGATCTGCGAGTTCATACAGAACAGTTTTGTTGATGCCTTCCGAACCAGGAGATTTGGTTGGGTGATTGTATCTCTGACTCTATGAATTTTTTGATGCACTATCTCATCAAAGGGTGGCTCTGTGGTGTACAGGACAAGAGGAAATCGGATAACGAACTCGTCTTATCTAAGTTCTCGAGTAAATTATTTCCCTGATAATCCTTTAAAAGTGAAATAGAGTCTCGACTGATTTGTGCCTTATTAACGTATGCAAAGAACTCTTCGGACTTCTTGGTATTCTTTTGGCTACTTCTTACTGAAATGCTGCTCGTTTTCTCCTCAATAGATTTTGATATTTACTTTACTGTTTCTTAACTTCAGAGATGTGTGTGGACTGATGACATCTGCCACACCACCTCCATAATCTCCTTTCGTTCTTTGAGTTCCTTCTTATTTCCAATGTCACCCGCTGGTGTCGGGAAATCCGCCATCTCCTTTTAAGCGGACGAAATGTCTTTAACAAGTACCGATTTAAACACTTGAATGACCCCAGGCGGTGATAGGGTCATATACATGCGCAGGGTTCCGCCTGTCTCACTCTGTAGTCCTTTCCTTTTGGAATAATCCCTTTTTCATATATTCCTCGCCTTTGCTGTTTGAATTTCGGGTACAAAATGACTATACTACCAAACAAGGACTCCATAATCACTTCGTCCTGCGGCCGTGTTAGAACACAATCCAATGATGCAGTTTTTATCCCTAGTCATGATGAGACCCAAACAGATTGACTGCTGTCCATTACAGAATGGCGTGTTCATTGTAACGTGTTAGGTAAAGAATTCGTCAGCAAACAGCTGGAGTAATTTTTATTTGAATGAGATTTCTGACAAGAAGCAGTTCATCGATTCCGAATCGATGTCTGAAGAGTCGAAATCCCCAAGTTCCATTACGTGTTCGGTGCGACTAATCTGCTTTAACTCCGTGATGATTGCATCGTCCGTGTCCTTCCGGTGTCCAAGGGCAATATAGAGGTACGGTTGACTTGGCGCTCTCAATTCACAGCTAAAGGTTTCGCAACCAGGGAGTCTTTTCGGTGGGGACCCCTCCTTGACGTAGTTAATGCCATCCCACGAAAGCATCGTGATCCCCACCATCCGCCCATTTCAACCAACGCGGATATGCTGGAATTTGTCCAGTATGAGTTCTGCGTCTGCTGTTCGTTCATCTAACGATGCTCCAGCAGGGGCTTTTAAGTGTGATTGCAAATGGGCCACGATCGGTATAATTTTGTCCATTTTGTCTAGTAGGCACTGCGCATTATTGCACATTATTGCCATATTTTTGTTCCTTTCATCTCTGGAAATCTGTCGGTTCCTGCGCATGACAGCCATTACTATATATATTGCACGGCATATCCTGTCCCCTGTCTGGGTTCATATCTACAAGTGCCTGAT